AAACATGGACATAGTAACAATATTTTTATACTACATTTATCCATTTTAAATACACTAACCTCACTCCTTTGTAACAACTAAGACAAAAATGTAATTAATTCAGAAAATCATTTCAGGACCCCACCTTGATGTTTCGGGACCCAAAGTGGGGTCCCGACCTCAACTTTGGGAAACACTGGTCTAATCTATGGATTACATGTGTTTGTGTGATCCTGTGCTTCCCCGTTTGATACAGTTTATATCACATCCCTTCAGTTGTCCTTTTACAGTATAACTTCACAAAATACTATTATTAAAACAATTTTGCACGTAACTAAAAAACATTAATTTGCCATGACTACAGGTGAGATTTTAACCAATTGAAATCAGTTTTCTTGTTTTTTTTTTTTTTTTTTTCAGTTCACGATTTTGGCAAGAATCAAAGTATAAATGATTCAGACGAGTCATCAATGAGAGGAGTGTATTTATGTTTATAAGCCTGAAAAATTATATAAAAAGAGTTGTTGTGGCCTAGCTTGGATGAAGACAGTTGCCCTGTTCTCCACACTGTCACGTATCACTGATGTCACAACTGATAAAGTGTTTATTATTGATAGCTGTTAGAACATCTTGTCAAAGTTGACTATCTATCCTCTTAAACCATCAGTTTATGTGCTGATTCAGAATCATGTGAAAATACAAAACCATAGTGACTCATGAGCTCTTCTGTTTGTCTGCTCCTCCTCAGGCCTGGATCGTCTCCTCAGCTCTCACATGACGACACTCACTCCCGGATTGAGCACTACGCCAACCGGTAACGCTTCGTCTGCGTTAGGTCTCTCTTGATGCGGTAGATCAGGTCCCCACTGCCGTCCTCGGTCCCACGGGCATCACAGATGATGGTCTCAGACAGCTGTCCAAGGCCCGCAGCAGAGCGCACATCAGCCGATGCAGTTTAGACGAAGGAATTCAAAGAAAATAACACAGTTCTCCCACCCCCACAGTGCTCATGGAGACATAGCTATAACTCACAGGGGATTAGTTGTCCTAATTTCCTGTTGTGGTTTGGGGGAGTCTTCTTAAAACTAAATCAGTCAGGCTGGCTTGAGATAGAAGTCAACCATTTGCACACATGAAWTGATGCCTCATGTATAAGCAGATGTATGTTTTTACTTGTACGTGATGCTTAAATKGGATTCAAAACAAAAAATGTCACTTTAAAGCCGAAGTCTGCTTCCTGTGGACTTCGTACAGGGTGAGTCAGAACCAGTGGTGGGAACGGTTCTGCTAATAGCGGAACAAATTTTAGCAGATTAGCTTTTTCGCTAACTTTTAAAACAGTTAGCTTATGCTAAATGAAGTTTTTCCAGGTTTAGATCTGCTAATAGCTAACTAACAAGCTAACACTAAGAGGTTTGTGTCAGTCCCACCAGTCTTTTCTGGAAGGAGGCAAAGGCGTGATGCAAACTGAGTGACTATCATCTTAGCGTTTAGCAATTTGCTGTTAGTGTTAGCTTCCTCTCATTTTTATTTCACATCTTTTAGTTGTTTAGCGTTAGTGATTCTGTATTTTTAGTTAGCAGACTATGAGTTGGCAAAGCTAACCTTTTGGTTAGCTGTGCTCACCACTCTTGAAAACCAGTGGTGAGCACAGCTAACAAAAATGTTAGCTTCGCTAAACGCCACCGCCACCCTGCTATGTAAAAAAATTAGCTTTGCAGACACAACCACTAACTCAAAGTCAGTCATTTAAACATAGATGTGTGGTATCCACAGAAATGTCAGAATCTTGGTTAAAGGGGACCTATTATGCAAAATTCACCTTTTAAAGGTTTTTTTTACTCAACTTTGTGTATGTACTTCTTAAAAAAACAGTCCTAGGACCAAAAAATGCACCCAGGGGCATATTTACTGTAAGTAAATGTATTTTAAATGTATATTAACGACAAGTTTTATACATCCGTCAATTTATGATGTCACAAGCCGTACGACAACCCACCTGAACCTGCTTTCAGCCCCTTACCTAGCAACCCCCGGGTGAGACTCCTCCTCAGTATAAAAAGCCGTCACGGTTGTTGTTGTGTAATGTGCAGCTCATTTCACAACAAGCCACCAATAGGGCAATGGGTAGAGTGTTGGACCAGAGAGTGGCACAGAGACAATTTAATCATTTATTTATATTTGTTATGAACACGTTTTCTCATGTAACTCTATTGTTTAGCTTATTAAAGCCTTGTTAAAGCTTATTTGTTCGAGTTCCTGAGGTATTTAGACTGCTGCTGCTCCCTGCTCTGGTAACAGCATGCAGAGTGAGCGCAGAGCAGAGGAGGGAGAGAAAAAAAAAGAA